TTAACTATCTTTTTATTGATATGTTGATTTGCTTTACTATAGTAATCATATCACTTTGTGTATGTATATCAAAACATGTATATTTTAAATATATACAATTAATTTTTTACTTTAGAAGAATAAAATGTGTTTAAAAATAAAAACAAACTTAAGGGAAGTAGAAATATTTATAGCTAAAATGAGAAAGTTTGAAAACCTTTTCAAGCAAATGAGTACACCTACTGGAAGTTAGATCTTTAACGCTTAGGCAATGAGAACACTCACTGCAATTTTATTTGAAATCCTCTTTGCTGGAAAAAGAAAAAAGGATAATTTGGCAAGTATTTGACAAATTCAAGGTTAAAAACTCACATTCCCTGAAATTACCCTAGACCAAACTAGAGAAAAAGCAAATGAAAAAGAGCAAGATAAAAGTGCAATTTCTCTCCCTTGAAGTTTCTGCTTTCCTGAAGTAGTAGAAAATGGGGTAGAGGACATAATTTTGAGACCATAGATGAAGGGAGCATCCAGTGAATAATCAGAAAGTTATATCTTAACTGGATTAATGACCAGAGTCTCTTCTTGAGTATTGAAATCACTGTGATGAAATAAAATTTGTAATTACTAAATATGCCTGGTAGTCACTAATATTTCTGTATAAGTTATATGATTGTTAATAAAAACAAAAGATAAAATTTTTAGTATAAAAATAAAAAAAATACATGTTAATAGATGATCTGGGACAAGTCATTTAAACTCTCTGGGATTGGGTTTACTTGTTTGTGTTCCAAGGGTATTGAAGGAGAAAATCTCTAAATGTCTCCTCTACGCCTGAATTTCTGAAAGCCTAAAAGTAGCAGTCTTTTAAATTAGAACTTCAAAAGTAGGTCAAAATTTTGCAATTGGAAGAGTAAAATTTATTACAGTTTTTCCTCTAGAAATCTATATTTATTTTTAGCATTCGAAGTATATGTTTCAGATCCAGCATATCAGGGGTCATTCATTAATTCAGTATTTTATTAATCTTTGGACTATTACAAATAAATATAGGAATAGGAAGCTTTGTACTAAGAATCAGTTTTTCTAGACTCATTCTCAGTTATGTGCCATCATAAACAATGTAAATAAATTCCTCTTATCAATCTTAAACAAATCTTAGAAATAAGTTCATTGGTATATCTAGATCACTGAAGACTTATCATTTATTGGTCAATGAAAATGATAACAACAATATATTTAAAACATAATACTTTTAATTATATGCTAGCAGTCTTGCATTATTATTCTATAACAATAGTACATAATTTTACAAATTTTACTTTTTAAAAATGTGTCAGGAATAATAATGGTAATGGATGAGGTCAAAATTAAATATGTTAACAGGAAAAAGAAAATACTTATTACTAATTAATTATTTTTGAGATCCTATTGCATGCAAAGCAGTGCACCTAGAATACTTTTAAATAAGCCACACACACATATTTTTAAACTATGAATATACAGAACATTTGAAGATGTTCTTTATCTTAATTGTCTAGCATTCCTTTTGTCACACATATTCTTAATATTTTTTGATTCTCTGTCTCAAACATTTTAATGTTGGTGTCTTTAAGCTATAATTTTTCATATCTTCCTATGTCATTTCCAACTGGGTATCAGATGGACATGCTAAGGCTTCTGTAGTTTTTGAGAGTGGTAGTAGGCATGCTTAATAGCCACAGAAAACTAGGGAGTCCTATGGAGAAGTGTTAATCGATAAACTTTCATATTCAATAAGAAATAAAAAAAGAGAAACAAACAAATATGAAATTAGGGGGGAAAAGTGGTGCAGTGAAAAGTCTCACTTTGACAGTTATACCAAAATAACCCTTCTAATCTGGAATAATTTATAAATTTTAGAAAAATATTTTTTAAAGGTAGTAAATTCTTTTTTTTTTTAAGTTAGTAAATTCTGTAGAAGGTATGTAGGGTGTCGTGTGCTAAGAAAATATTTTGGCAAAAAGAAATAATTATATGTAAGTTTGAATCAAGGGGAAGAATGAATAGTTGGGGAAAAAGTAGAAAAAAATCATGCTTTCTTGTTGTAAGTGGAACAATCTAAACTCTAGTTTAACAGGAGGGAGGGATTGCTTAGGATTTAAATGATTAGAAAAGGCTTTTGTCAAAGATATTTGGATGAGATTTGAGCAGTTTGACAGACATTTGCTAGGTAAGGATATATGTGACAATGGGGCTGCAGTCAGAGGTAAAAATGTAGTATAGGCAGAGCCTAAACGTGGTGCAAAGAACTATGTGGTTAACTGTTTACAAGAAAAATATGATAGGGGTCAGAAAACAAAACAATGTTTCACACTTAGAAAACTGTCTCATGCACATATGACTATTTTTTTAGATATAAATCACAGTTGCAACAAGTTAGACTATAAGATGGAAAACTTAACAGCTTAAGAGGAATTCTAGAGCTCATGGATCTGCACATTTTGTCTTGCCTCCAACCTCTGAGTTTTATCTCCCAAGGTTCAATATGATCATTTGTTTCAACTCACTTGGACTATGCATTCTGTTCCCTGAACAAGTACAAACTTTTCCTGCCTGTGTTTGCTGTAACAGTCTATGCAACAACAGTTCAAAGCCAAACAAAATACCTCCTCCCCAACCAAAGCAAGCCTTCACTAATTATTTTAGTCCTAAAAAGATCCTTCCATCTTATTTTATTATTGAATTTATGTTGCACCACTCAGATGATATAAGCAACCATGATTTGTGAATATGTATGTATATGTTTGCTCTATCCTACAAAATTATAAAAATTCTTAAAATCAGAACTGTATAACACAACTTGGCATGCCACAGGTTTTGCATTTTCATAAGCTAGTATACAAAATCAAAATCAAAGCAATACAATAATGCTAAATAAGAATTTGTTGAATGAATGCATTCCCTTGCTGACACATTATCAAAATCCCTTCATTTCCCCCCTTTATTCTTATGAGACAATCCTTTTATTTCTTTTCTTTTTTTATTAAATCATAGCTGTGTACATTAATGCAATCATGGAGTACAATGTTCTGGTTCTATATACAATTTGAAATATTTTCATCAAACTGGTTAACATAGCTTTCATGGCATTTTCTTAGTTATTGTGTTTTTATTGAATCTATTTTTTATGCCTATCTCTTAACTCTTGGAAAATGATTGAAACATATCTTGATTCACCCAATAATGCTTTCACATTAAGGATAAAAAAGAGGCATCAAGGGCATCTAGGGAAAGCTCCAACTACTGTGGGCAAAGGAAGCAATTTGAATGTCTTTCTTATGTACCTACTTGAATCAGAATGCAATTTGAAATTGGGGAAGGGAAAATGAGCTGCAGCTAAGCCGTTTTATCTTACCTGATCTCTTTAATTCCACACTATAGGTGCTAGAGGAAAATGGGCACAAGTAAAAGTGATGAGTTCTTCTGTTAGTTTGCATTTTAGTTTGAATGGATGGTTTGACGTTCTGTAGAAGATATAGCATTTATCTTTTAAATTGATGACACCAGTTCTTTTAATCCACATGAACACAGATAAGATTCTTCCTAAAGTGACTATTGAAAAGGTTAACTTTCTTTTTTGATTAACCTTCCAAAATAGGGATATGAGCTGTTGTTACAACACTTTTCAACACAATTAGCCCTTAGAAAAACCAAAGCAGACACATTTGAGAAAGTGCTATGGGACCTGGTTCCCCCGTTTTTAGCCTAACTGTTCTCAGGTATCTTAATCGCCAATTCCCTTGCCAAAAATCCCAAACCTTTAAATCTCAGGAACCAACATTGGCAAACATCTAGAAACGTGTCTTAGAGTGGAAAACCATATAAACTTTCGCAAGACAAGGGAGATGCTTTCCATAGGCAAAAAATGTAAGAGGTCACCTAAAAACTCAGTAACAAAGATAAATACTTTAATATGGTATTTTTAAAAGATCAAAACCAGTGCAAGAAGTCCATGATAAATAAAATATCAAAAAGTTCAATAAAGTCAGAATCCTACCTTGCGCTTGCACAACTCACCTCACTCATCTCACCCTAATTTCCTGTTTTTGGCACAACCTTAAATTTTGCACCAGAGATCAGTACCTCAATCTGATGCCAGTCCAAGGCTGAGTCTTAAGCACTTTCATACATGACACGTTCTTCAGTCCCTTCACTAAATGGTACCTTTGTATTAAAAATTTCATTTAATAAGTTCTTTTCTTCTGGATAGATCTCTGCTATTACTAACTTGCCGTGGGACCTCACTGAATTCTTGGTGGACCCTCTCCACGTGGTATAATAGTGTTTAACTGGCATCCCCACCTCCAGGGGTCTTCTGCTCTGCCAGCTCCCAATTTTGTTGCTACTTTCCACCTGCAGGAGACTAGCCGTTTTGGCACCCTCCTCGAGCCAGGATCACCCTCCTGCTTTGGCAGGAAGTTCCCACACCAGAGAAACATCCCCCCTCTTTTCCACTCTCTGAGTGCTCCTGCCAATTCATCTCCACTCTCCTACCAGTGGCATCAAAACATTTTCCGCGACAAGGAAGAGGGAAGGGGTGGGGGGTTGGAGACTGTGGAGAAAGCAACAGTTTGTGGCTTTTGCCAGTCATTACAGATAAAAGAGAAACAAACGAACAAAAATACTCTGGCTTTCCCATCCATCCTGCGCCTGGGCACAAAATTGTCTACTAAGACCACGTGCTCCTTTACCCTACCAGCTGTTGGAGCTGGCAGCTTACTAGGGTTTGTGGCAAGTACACAGGCCACGCCCCAGAAAGACGACCACTTGCCCTTATTGGCCTAAGAGCTTGTCACTCCAATCTGGCTCCCACTCCTGCTAACCATTCACGTAGTTTGGTTGCAGCGTCTTAGTGTGTTTAATGTTGCCAATAACGAGCCTTTTTTTTTTTTTTGAGGAGAGTATCGGTTGTGTTGCATTTAGTTCATTGAAAACTGGATTGCTCTTCTGAGCGGCCACGCAGAGACTGCTTTGGCCTTTTTTTTTTTCCCTGCTGACTGTTAAGATCTCCTGTAAGGAACTGCAACAATGCCCAAAAGAAAGGTAAGTGAAATGGAAAGGCAGAATGGAGATTGGCTGCTGAAATACATATTCTCTAATAGGCAGATTTTTTTTTAAAGCGTTTTGACTTCTAGTTCAATTCTGTGATGTGCTGAAGTGGAAGGGAAGGGAAGCGCAAAGAGCAGTTGGTGTAAGGTTTAGTATGGTCTTTCATGCAACTGGTAGTTCACTTTTGGCGTGTTTTGTTTAAGGGAAAGAATCGCTTGTGAGGTGTCTTCATGCTGAATTACAAACAGCCATAGCGCCTACCTCACTCTCCTTTCCTCTGCTTTTCCTATTGGAGAACACTTTCCCCAACCACACTTCCAGGCACCAGTTTCTTCCTCTGCCTCTGGCTTTTCTTGGGAAACTGTCCTATTTAGGAAAGGAAAGCCACAGCTTTCTTCTGTATTTGCCTTTGTTCTTCCCGTTTTCTTTTTTCTTTTTCTTCCCTCCTCCACTTCTTGTCAGACCAGATGGCTATGCAATGGTAATCCTGTGCCATTAGGCGGCGCAGACTTCAAACTGTCCTAGAGAAAGAAGAGATTCATCGCTTTAATTAGAAACTTCAGGGCTGAGCTGTCTGGCGCTCTCCAAGCTCTTTAGGTAAAGATGGAAAAGTGATAGGGTAACTGAGTTTGATAAACCGTTGTTAACCTTGAAGTAGCATGGATTTGTTTACTTTAGACTTGCAGAATTGACCTGAACTGTTAAAGGGCTCACAGTCTTCTGTAAAACCTCGCTTTACAATTCCTGACTCCTCTCAGAATAAAATAAATTCATGATCGGTTTATTTTATTCCTGCGTCCCTTGAAAGTGAAATCGAAATCTGTTTCACTATTGGCAAAATCATAAAACACTGCTAATGTAAGACATTGTGGATATTTTTGTGTTATTTCTATTACTGTCTGTCTTCCCTATTCCTAGAACATAGGAGTCAGGCTGAAATTTCCCCGTTTTCTGGAGCAGTGTGAATTGCACAATAGCTTGATAATCCCCAGACTAAATGGCTGCTCAGATACTGAAAGCAATCCTTTCTAATTACCAGCCCGCTTCCTGAGACTCCTGACATTGTACTTTTCTAGGTCCGTGTAGTAGGTCTTGGAATTTACAAAACTGACAGCAACCTTGTAGCAGGTAGTGGCGGGAAGTTTTAAAATCCGAAGCCGGCTTCTCGGAATAAAACACTGACGATGTAACAAAGAGCCCCGCCCCCGATAAAGCATTGTGGGGGCTGTAGTTTTTATATGCAAAACGTTGAGAGAATAGTCCAGAGTCTGTGGCGAGAGAAAGATAGCTACAGTTGCACAGCAAACATAAGGCAAAAAAAAAAAACTCGGAAATTGCACGAAGCTCTGCCTTCATTTGGCCCTCCCCGATCCCCTTTATTTGTGGGCTTTAACACTTGTCTACAAAGCAGGTGGATTTCAAAATTAGAATGGTTTTGCCTTAGGAGATGAAATTTGCACAAAAGGATAAAATTGACTATCAGTTGAATAAACTGATAATTTAAATACACTTGAGTATGCACTTGCATCTTTGTGCACATTTGCACATTAATAGAGGACATGGCTTCTATAAAACAACATAGGGATGCTTGAGCAGGAACCCAGGACAAAATCATAAGCAGTTTTATTGCAACTGCAATCCATAGGCAATATTTTCTGATTTAAACGTTTATACCAATGACCTTATTTCTGTGTGTGTGTGTGTGTGTGTGTGTGTTTTTTCCCTCTGTATAGGCTGCAGGTCAAGGTGATATGAGGCAGGAGGTGAGTTTCTTTAGTTTTAGAATATATCAAAAAAAATCCATACATTTTATGAACTGGAAACACTTAGGTAGCAAAAAATAGATGCTGGTCAATGTATTTGTACCATATGAGTACTAATATGATATGCCAATGAGCTCTCTGAAAACTATAGATTTTAAAACTCCAAACTTCTTGGAATTTAAGACTTTATTGTGCTTGTTACTATCTGAGATGAGCTTCTCTCTTTTAAGCAAAAGAATAGTTTTGTTAGTTGGCAAGAAGAGGCTATATTTTCATTTGTAAAAGTGCTCCTTCCTACTAGCCATTGTGTTAATTTAGCCTAGCAACTTAAGGCTAATTTATGATTTTTTTAAAAATTTAGCTTAGTGTATGAAGAGTCCACAACAGGGAGACTCAAATCTTATATTTCTACTATTGTTTTCTCTATGTTCACAATTGTGTTTTTAGTGACAATATGTAGTGTTACACCAAATATTTTCATCACAATAAAAATAATTCTAGTTTTGTGTCATCCTTAATTCTCTTAACTGATTTATTTTTTTGCTTACAGCCAAAGAGAAGATCAGCTAGACTGTCTGCTGTAAGTAGTCCTTTTAAAAAGGAGCCTGAGCTAGGTGAAGTGGCACAGGCCCAGGTGGTTGATCACCTGAACTCAGGAGTTGGAGAACAACCTGAGCAAAAACCAGACCCAGACCCATTCTATACTAAGAAAACTAGCTGGGCTGTAGCACACACCCATAGACCAAACTACTGGGGAGGCTGAGGAAAGAGGATCACTTTAGCCCAAGAATTTGATATTGCTGTGAGCTATGATGCCACCAGTTTTACCACAGGCAATAAAGTGAGAATCTGTCTCAAAAAAATAACAAAATAAAAATTAAAAAATACTACAAAAGCCCATGCATTATGAAATATAATTCAAAAATTCAGGGAATCCTAAATAATTTAAGCTTTATTTTTGAAGTTTTAAGAAATTGACACCAAAAAATGTGTTATTTTCCTAATGTTCAGTTTGAATCATACCCATTTATTTTAATTCAGAGATTGAATGCTATTGTCAGTGTTCTTTCCTTAGATATGACTTCTTATTTTTTCCCCAAAACTTATGTTTTTTTATTCAGATGCCTGTGCCTATTATACCAGAGCTGAAGCCCAAAAGATCATCAACTCCAAGGGTAAATATTCAACTTGGAATGTCGAAAGGAAATTGCTATTCTTCAGAAATAATTTTTGAAAAGGCATACAACATTTTTCTTTATTTTTGATCAGGTATTAATAAGCCATATATTGCAGATAAGCCATTTGGATGAGGAATATTTGTTCCTGTTTTATGATTGTCTACTCTATCTTGGCATTTTTATTGGTAAATACCAAACAATTTCAGTTGGATAGACACATTAAATATAACTGCCTTGGACATCATATAGTCACAATGCTCTTTTCTGAGAAAACAAAGGTAATGTACTCAATATTAATGTGAAACCAATAGAAAAATAACTATATACCCCCACTAGACAAAAACACAAGCATATTAAAGTGGAGGGGGAAGAAATGGGCCAAGAGAAGGAGCCAGGTGAATTGGTGAGTTCTCATCTAATGTTCATAGTATAAGGGTTTGTAGCACACCCCTTGGGTGAAACGCTCATCTATAACTTGAACTTTACCTTAGAAAGGAAAACGATGTAACATAATCATTTGTACTCTCATATTAATCTTAAATTTAAGAAAGAATGTAGGCTCAGCGCCTATAGCTCAACCAGCTAAGGCGCCAGCCACGTACACCTAAGGTGGCGGGTTCGAATCCCCAGCCCGGACCCGCCAAACAACAATGACAGCTGCAACCAAAAAATAGCCGGGCGTTGTGGCGGGTGCCTGTAGTCCCAGCTACTTGGGAGGCGGAGGCAGGAGACTCGCTTGAGCCCAGGAGTTGGAGGTTGCTATGAGCTGTAATGCCATGGCACTCTACCTAGGGGGACAGCTTGAGACTCTGTCTCAAAAAAAAAAAAAAAAAAAGAAAGAGTGTAAATTATAGTAATCAAAGTAGGGCTTTGTAATAATAGTAGTAACTAACATTTAATATTTTTACAGTTGCACAGTGCTTTCACATACATTATTTTTAAATGGTCATAGTTGATTTCATATAGATTTCTATGCTCTGATGTTGTGGCTAAAGACATGGAGAAAAAGGAATAATATCAATAGTAAATTCACTGTTAATTGCTTAATATATAAAAATATTTTAAGGATTGGTTGAATTTATAAAGTCATATGAGGTTAAAGCTATTAAGAACATTAGGTATCACCTAATCCCATTATTTAGTAGCCAAAGAAACTGCATGACTGTCAAGGTGTTCATAAAATGCTTTGAAATCATTGATTAAAAGATATTACTAAAACTAGAGCAATTGCAGTTTTCTTAAGTTACAACAGAAAAGAAAATTTCTTATTTTTTTATCTTTTAAAGTTCGCCATTCTATTCAGTTTATAAGTTGAACAGTAAAGACATCTCATTTTATTTTATAAAGAGAAAACATTGCTAAAACAGGTTCTGTAAAACTAATGTTTAAAAATACTTTACCTTCTTTGGCTCTCTGTTTCTTATGTGTTAAAATAACACATAAAAATAACTTATATTTGTATGGCAATTCACAGTTTCTAAAACATTATCACACATATCTTCTCATTTGCTCCTTATCCCTGTAAAATGGGTGGCATTACTCACTTTTTACATATGAAAAAAACAGCCTCAAAAAGATATATGCTTTTGCCCAAGATAGCATCACATACATGGCATATGTGGAATTCAAACACAGGTTTTCTAGCTCCTTAATCCAATGGACTTTCCACTGTGTGTACAGTTAGGCAAAAGGTTTTGGTAAAAAAAAAATCATGATTTAAGTTATTTAAGTTATTTCAAACTTGTAGACACAAAGATTAAAGCACCTGTATCAACAAGTGCTCTCTTTTAAATATATCAAAATTGATGCTCTAACATAGAATTTCTCTTAATTATCACCAATGGAAACATTAAAATTAACAAAATCTGGTTGCAAATAGCTAGACTTAACAGAGATACCCTAGTCAGAGAGACTTAATTTATAAATCTACTGTGGTGCCTGTGGCTCAGTGGGTAGGGCGCTGGCCCCATATATGGATGGTGGCAGGTTCGAACCCTGCCCCAGCCAAACTTCAACAAAAAATAGCCAGGCGTTGTGGCAGGTGCCTGTAGTCCCAGCTGCTCAGGAGGCTGAGGCAAGAGAATTGCCTAAACCCAGAAGTTGGAGGTTGCTGTGAGCTGTGATGCCACAGCACTCCACCAAGAGCGATAAAGTGAGACTCTGTCTCTAAAAATATAAATAATAATATAAATCTAACCTAATTGGCCTTTGGTAGCCTCTATTTAACATTCTAATTGGTTGTTTTTCATATATATCACTCAACTTAATAGAAAATTTATTTGATTTATATCAGGGGAAATTGTTCATTTTTAATGCTGCTTTAGGTTTATAAGGAAACTGGAAGTATGTGATAATGTTGTTAATGTCATGTTTATGTGTGGTATTTCAGTAAATTTTTAATGAAAACTGGTAAAATAATTTTGTCCATTTAATTAGTACAGCATTTAAATTCTGTATTTATTTATTTTTCATATTTCTCACTAGAAAATAAAGACAAAAAATGATTCAGTGGAAAAAACCACAGATACAAGTATCAAAGCAGTCCCTGAAACCAAGCAAGAAGAGGTTGTTAAAGAAGAATACAACAGTGAAAATGGAGAAGCAAAAATCATAGAGGTATCTTACAATATTAACAAATCTTTTCATTTGAAAGTTTAACAATGTGTACAACTGAAAGTCTTATTTGCCTTTTATTTTAAAGGTTGAGAAACATTAAATGAGTAGTTGTTCTATAGTATAATAGTATCTAAGGGAAAAAGAAAATTAATTTTTAAAATGACAGTTTAAATATACTACTAGTGGGATCAGTGGCTTTGGATTGCTATCACTAGGACAATGCCATTGATCAAGTGATCATAACTTAGTATTAACATAATGACCCACTTACTAAATGCAGACCAGTCCTATTCCTCTTGTCAGCATGTAGGCTATTTGTAGCCTCCTTTCTGAGAACATATGGTTCTTTTATTTCTTCTACAGATGGGAAAAATATATATGTGTGTGTGTGTGTGCATGCATGAGTGTGTATGTTTTTAATAGGTCTGGGTTTGCATATTTAATGCGTACAACAATTCTAGGTATTGTAGTAAAACACTGAAAATGTGCAATAGTGACCAACTCTACAAACCAAACCTGTATGTCTATGGCAAATATGTTATAAGTGATCTTATGATGTCTAATACAGGACTTTACAAGTAATTTAATAAAAACCCCAGTCCAGGCACAGTGGCTCAGCCTGTAATCCTAGCACTCTGGGCTGATAAGGCAGATGGATTGATTGAGCTCGCAAGTTTGAGACCAGCCTGAGCAAAAGCAAGACCCCGTTTCTACTAAAAATAGAAAATCTGAGGCAAAAGAATCACTTGAGCCAAAGCTGGAGGTTGCTGTGAGCTATGACACCACAGTACTCTACCCCGGGCAATAGCTTGAGATTCTGTCTCAAAAAATAAATAAATAAAATTAAAAAATTAAACCCCCAAATCTCATTCTTATAGATGACAAAATGTGTTACTTTCCCAAGGACTATATTTTGTCTATGTGCATGATCCTTATAGATAATTTCTTATATATAATACCTCTATGTTCTTTATGTATTTACTTTGTGCTTCCTCATATTTAGAATGAAAATTATTTACACAAGTTTTTCTTAATTTATTGTTTATAACATCTATTTATGGGTATTTGTATGGAGATATTTTAATTAATGTTATTTCTTAGAATACTTTCCTCATGATATGATATTTTTGAGGCATTTTCCAAGGGGAAGACTATAGCTTATAAATGAAATACTATTTTTCCCATAAAGAAGACATAATGTACTCTAAATATTTAGGGGATACACATCCAAATTTACAAAGAATATCTCTTTTTTATTCACTGTACATGTAGGCACCAGCTTCTGAAAAAGAAATTGAGGAGATAGAAGAAGAAAAAACTGAAGATGTTGAAGAAGAGAGAAGAGAAAAGAAAGAAGCAGTGGCCCCAGAAGGAAAAGAAGATCAGAAAGGAGATGAAGAAAGTAAAAGCAAAGAAGAAGAGAAAGGAGAAGATGAAAAAGAAGACAAAAATGAAGAAGGTAAAGAAGAAGGTGGAAAAGAGGACAAATATGGAAATAAGAAAGGAGAATGTGGTAAAGAAGTCAGTAAAGAGAGTAAAGATGGAAAAGAAGGCAAAGATAAAAAAGAGAGAGAAGACATAAAAGAGAAAGGAGATGGAAAACAGAATGAAGACAAAAAAGAGGATGAAGATGTGAAAACAGACAGAAAAGACAAAGGAGATAAAAAAGAGGAAAAAGATGGAAAAATCAAAGAAAACGATGAAGAGGAAGATGGAAAGGAAGAAAAAGGTGGAAATGAGGAAGAGGCTGGAAAAGAAGAGGAAGAAGGAAAAGAAGAAAAAGAAGGAAAAGAGAAAGATGGAAAAGAAGAAAATGGAAAAGGAGGTGGGAAACAGAGAGAAGATGAAAACAAAGCTGAAATTGGAAAAGAAGCCAAAAAAGAAGAGCTTGAAGAAGAAAATGGGGAAAAGACAAGTCTCTGAGTATTGTTTAAAATGCCCTATATAATTTCATAATTTGGTAATATGTACCTTCATGTTTTAATGTTAATAGAGATAAATATTTTTATCAAATATTTTATAAACACGATTTTTCTTTAGAAAAAAATTACTTTCAGAACATCTTCATATTGATTATTAATTAGCCACAAAATTCCTAATGTGAAACCTTTGTAAACTTTGTAATTATAGGAGTGGAATATATGGAAAAAATATGATTTTAACTTTTGTCAGTGAATTTTGTTTTTTTGTAAGTTATGTATTAAATCTTTGAATTTTAATTTTACTCCTATACATGGGATAATTTTACAAATTGGAGGATCCCAAAGGAAAAAGTTTCATCCAGCATTCTTGTGGTTCTCTGGGTTGCTATATAAAGGGTGATCTATTTTCATGTAATACTAATAGTGACACTTACCTTTCCCAAATATAACTTTATTATTGCCTTTGGAAAAAATAAAATTGTATTTCCATTTTTAAAAAGAAACACTAATGTTTCAGATGGATAGTTTTGATTATTTGTGTATGCACAAAATTTTACTGAATTTGATGTATCTTAATAAAAAAGATTCTTCAAAGATAATTGAGATTTGTTATATTTTTAAAAATGTAGTTAGACGAATATTATGCTCTATTTTTTTATTATAATATTTATGAAAACATTTACATTTTTTGCTGAGATAAAATTGACACTAAGTTCACCATTTTAATTATTTCAAAGTGTACAACTCATTGACTTTTTGGTATATTCACAATGTTGTGCCCAATGTCTAATTCCTGAGCATTTCCATCACCCAAATAAGAAAAAATATACCAAATAGCAATCTCCCCCTATTTCACTCCAGCCAATCCCTCACCCTCTAGTTCTGGCATTCACTAATATGCTTTCTGCGTCTATGGGTTTGCCTATTCAGGACATTTCATACAAGTGGAATCAAACAATAAATGTGTG